TCCCATAATATATCATCAAATTATAAGGTTTTCTTGTCCTCACTGTTGTGGCAACATCTGGTGGCAAACGGCAAGAAAAAAACGAGAACAAAAAATGCTCATAATAAATATAAAATGGCAAAAACGTGTCGATTTCCCCTAACAACTTGAAAATGATTTGTTTCACAGTCTGCGGAGCATATTAACTTCGATTTTCAATTCACAGCAGACTTTTCCACATATCATAACACGCTGAATGAAGAGGCTGTCATATGACCTTCCCACCCAACTACTTGGGTACATTTTTTGCCAGTTAGGCAAAACGCAAAATTCCATTTAGGCCGCAAAAGTTGCCAAAACCGAAGTATGAGACTTCGAGTTACAGACACTGTTTGTTTGTTTGTTTGTTAGACCGGCCGACCAGCTTGTCTCAATGACGTTGGTCCTTAGCCATAACCTGGGGCTCTGTCAGCTTCATCTTGTTAACCAAACAGGCCAAACAGAACTCCATCGGCCAAGACAAAGGACCCACGAAAGAGGAGCCGCTTGCCATATGCTTGCCATCCACATCGAAAAAAAAGTCTAATTGATGGCCTGTACCAACCTGCATCTTGACCATTTCCGTTCGTCTGCGGATATGCATGTCTACTCAATTTTCCGGCAAATGAGTCGCCCTCATCGTCCTCAAGAACAACAAAAATTGATTGGAATTTTCAACAAGCGGATACAAATTTTTTCCCCCCTTTTTTTTCTCACATTTTTCTGCTACTGTTTTTCTCAGTCGTTTTTTTAGCTGTTGTTTTTCCCTTCGACACATCAACACTTGTCTTTTGTGGTTTTGGCTGCTGTTGCCTTTTGTTATTTGGCCTCTTGTCGATATATCCTTTCTTCACTGAGGCTGTCTATATTGGCTACTCATAAATGTCGAAATCAAGTTAAAGATTCAAAAGGGTATTTCAATGTCTCCTATTAAAAAAATCCATTTTTAAACAAAAAAACTGCAAAGGAAATGGAAAGGTTCTGACCAAAGGAATTAAACTAATTAATATGCTTCAGCGTCACATGTTTTTTTTTCGTTCACATTTTTCATTCTTAACAAAAAAGTAAAAAAAAAAAGGTAAAAATTAATTATAAACAAATCTTTTCATGTCACCAACGGAATTTTCGACACTTTGGCGCATTTTTCAGCTACCCAACCTCAATTTCAGAGCAATTTCCACGGACTAGGCCCTTTCCGCTTTCCCCAAGCTTTCCGCTTTTCCCAACTACCACTTCCCCTTCGGAGCAATTGTTTAGGGTCACTCAAAAGCACATTTCACTTATTATTAGCTCATTTATTAGCCACCAAAGGCGCCTGACCCTGGCAGCACCTGGAAAAACTTTGTGAAAAATGCTGGCCAATACAAAAAATAAAAAGTATCCTCCTTAAGTTCTCCAACTCCCATGATGTTTTTGCTTTTTCCCTTCGGGCACCTTAAAATTAACACATAAATTTTCAAGTGGGTGGCCAACGGCCTGCGGATAGCCATTCACGAGATACCTTTGGTCCTTTCTTTTGCCAGGAGCGTAGGTTTAAGGGATATGAGGTCTAAAGACAACAAATTTAAAAAAAATGATATTTTCATCTTCCAAAAAAAAAATCCAAAAAAATCATTCAAAAAGGAAAATTTAAAAAAAAAAAAATTTTAAACCACAATGCTCCCCATTTTTCCAACGCCTCTGACCTGGGAATGTCTGTCATTGAAATTTCCGTGTGAGTGCGTTCAATGTTCAGGATCCCTTCCCTGCCACCAAAATCACCGAACTGGGCAATTGACGCTGAAACTACGTGACGTACGAAAGTATATTGTATCTGCGGGATTGCCATTGACAGTGACTTTCCTTTTTACGCTTTTTATTGTGTGCAAATTGGCCACCTGGCTTTAAACCAGGGGCAGTAGGCATCCACCCAATGCATCACTTTTAATTATAGACCACTAAATTAAAATGTGCGGTATTTGAAGAGGTGGGGGTGTATTTATAATGTCTGCCTTCATTATCAACTCAAATGCAGGCCCTGAGCATAAAAATCAACTTTCCCACTCCCTCAACAGTCCCACAACAAAAGAAAACCCAAGACAACGAATCCGGAATTAAAGAAAGGACCTTAGAAATGCGGAAATAAATAAACGTCGCAACTGTCTTGAAATCTCGGACTTGAAGGGGACATGGGGAAGGGAACGTTTTGAATAACAAAATTAACAGCAGTCCCCAACTTGTGCCCTCTACTCCTGTTTAGTTATGCATTTCGTTTTTCTTTTCTTTTTTTTTATTTTAATTTTTTATTTATGTTTTTTCTCACATCCACAGGCCGAGGAAGTCAATGCAATATAATTCGCAACCCAGGATGCCCGACCGCCGTTACAGGCAAGTTTTTCTTTATTTTTCTTAACTTTTCCCTTTTTTTTTCTTATTTTTGTATTATCCCTTTGCGCCATTTGTTTGTATTTCCCCGTATTTGTTTGCCTTGCGTGAGTTCCTTGGCTTAACGCACGCTTGCACCTTTCCCGGCTCACCAAATGTCGGACTGTAAGGACTCGGCCTGAAAATGGGTAGATCCCCCCGAGACAGCCACATTATTAACACTTGACTTAATATGCATTTCTTGGGTGGACGCCGTTGCCAGTGCCAAAGGCGTTAACAAGGTTTGTCCGCAGGCTGAAGGAAAAAATACTTTTGCATTTTGACTCCAGGAGAAATAATAGCTTAGCATAAAAAAAGTATAAAAAATTATATCTGTGGAAGGCAGTGAAAAATAAGCTTAATTTTAATATAAAGGTTAGTAAAAGAGTTAATAAATTGATGGAAATAGACAGTAAATAATAAGACTATTTTTAAAGAAAAAATAAAACAAAATATCTTAGTATGAATAAAGTTTAAGATTAAGTTAAGACAGACATCTTCAAAGACAACAAAAACATGCAGCATGCAATTATAGGAAATAGGAAATAGGAAATAATACCAGAAAGACTCCATTTATACCGCCATTTGTTTTTTTGCGAACGCATCCCATCGTGTAACAGTAAATCGTTACCCACCACCCGCCCAACCGACGCGAGGGGCGACAGCCGCATGACGTACGGCTCGTAGAACCCGATTACGGCTAGGGTCCGGACCCAGACCTCCATTTGGATTGATTTCTTCGCGAACGCGTTCATTAAAATTCAGACACCCATATGCATTGACCCGGATAATTTTGTTGGAATCGACAATAGATAGCGGAGCACAACCCCGGATCAAACGGATCATACCAATGTTTAGCTCTTGCAGGGGGATATATCAAAAATTATAGAATCGAACGAATTGAATAGGTTGTCTTGCTTTGATCCCTATAGTTCGGATTCGGAGTCTTACAGTGAATGTTATTTAATTTTAGATTAACTTATATACTAAATTGCCTATTTAGATGCATTGTCCCTATTTTGTGATGGTTTAAGTAAGGTTCTCTAAATTCTGATAGATATGGCTAATACATTGACTATTGGCATACATAGTGGCCCTAGAATTGGTTACATATTGATCGTTTGGATTTTTATAAATAGGTGGTTATGACATTATTTATCTATGGTTTGATATATTGCCCGTTTCGGGCTCGATTTAGTTGTTTTGTACCGTTTTAAGAGATCATTTTTGTATCCTTGAAGTCGAGGTCTTGAGACCTGCAGTATATTCGGCGTACCCATGGTTCTTTACTTACAGTAGATTCGACTGAGCGAACTGACTGGTGATGGAGTGTAGTCACTGGTTGAACGGACTTTTGATAGCCCTGTCACTGAAGAATAGTAATAGGTTTTGATTATTGGTTTCTGAAAAGATAAAGGTGTATCTTTTACGAATTTTTTCAAAAACACTCCATTTTTATTCACTTTTTAATCATATATATTTCTTTTGAATGATATTCATAAACTTAAAATTTGTCACCACACTTCTATTAATTTTATATAAACATTTTTAGTATATTCTTCTTGTTTTAGGAAGTTTCCTTATAAGATCATTTGAGTTTTTATTATTCACCACACTCTTATCGTATACTCACCTGTGTAAGCCCGGGGCTCACACTCGCGTCCAGAATATTGGGCGTACCCAATTGCCGTCGCTGTTGGAAGGCTGCGAACCTCAATGAAATCTGTCTTGGTTCGATTAAAACTTTTCTGGCCTGAACTTCGTTGTCTATTTTTGCGCTTTTTTTAGCAACAAACTTCTTGGTAGATGGAGTAAAACTCGAAGTCCGGACTCTGGTAGTTGATACCCAACTGAGCCCGAGCACATGGCCTAACTGACTTTTATAGGAAGGCCCGCAAATAGCATGCGCCGAATTTCATTCATACATATCCGTATGTAAAGGTCCCCCGCCACTGTAGATGTCTTGCTTATTGTATTGTTTTATATGCAGTTTACCAAACAAAAATGCCAACACACTCACACCAGCGCGAGCGCCGAGAAATATGCAACAGCCAACCAGAGAGGCAACTGGATTGCAACGCCGACAAGGACGATGGAAGTGGGGGAGGGAGGCCAAGAAAGATAGAGCGAGCGAGGGAGATAGAGAGCGAGCGCCATTAATTGCACGTGCTGTTGCTGCAGTTTCAGTTGTTGTTATTATTACTGTTGTTGTTGGGTTTTATGTTGTTTTGCTTGTATTTTATTTTATTGCTCCAAACTCTCCCTCTCATCTGCAAGGGTTCGTTCTAGCTCTTTCTCTCATTGCCACCTTCCCTCCCAATTCTCAAAGGGGGGTATTCGTGAGATGCAAAGCTCTCCTGACAAGGATTCTTGGGATTTGGGTCTAAAGTGCATAGTTCTAGTTTAAAAAATGCAATTATTTTTTATTAGAGGCCTTTCAAATAAATAAGATAAGATCTTAAAAATATAATAATATTAGTGTTAAATAAACAATAAAATAAAAACTATAATTAATATTGCATCGCTTTAAAAATAATATATTTTATAAACAAAAACTATTAAAACCAACAATTGGTTTGATGGAAAATATATCCGTGGAACGCATGCGTGTGGATGGTTCGAGCTCCACGGCGGCCTCGGCACCCGGCTCCGTGCCGACACTCTGGGGGGAGGCCAACGGTGAACTTTGAGTCCTCGGCCTGTTTACTGTTAGTCGCACTCGGTCTTTCCAGCTCGCTCGTTCGTCGTTCGCTCTGCCGGCGGTTAAAGGGGGTCGGATGGGGGGCTTGGATGGTTGCCCCCATTTCCCACCTCCTGCTGCATCGTATTTAGTTTGCTGTTGTTGTTGCTGTATTTTGCATTGTTTTGTGCTGTGTTTTGTTTTGCTGCAGCTCTCGTGCCGTGACTTCGTGTTATGTACCGTTATGATCCTCGGCTCTTCGCTCGTTCGCTGCATCCTGGGTATGTGTTAGTGCTGCCTCCCATTTTGTTGTGTTGTTGCCGGTTATGTACTGCAATTGCTGTTCCTATTCGAATGCTTGGCAGTGTTGTGTTGTGTAGTGTTGTGTGTTATTGTCTTACCGGTCATCGGCATCGGCATTAAAAACTAAATCTACAGCAGCAGCATTGCATATTATATAGTGGTTGATGCAACATCAAAATAGGAAAATATGACAATGAATTTCTTATAAAAAATAGTTTATAATATTTTAGCTTCCCTAAAAGAAATGATGTTCTAGAATTATTTTATTTTCTTAAAGAAATCATTATCAAAAACAAAAATATTAAATCTAATAACTCTGAAAAAACGCCAAACGACAACAAAATGTCTAAAACCTCATAACCGCCACACACCCACTTCCGTTTCCACTCTGACATCCTCACAAACATGAACATCGAAAAAAAACATTGCCTAACCACAGGCTGATTTATATTTCACTCACACACACACGCTCACCTACGCATATGGCGGCGAACAGGGAGAGCAATTCATAAACAATTAAGTGACACTTGGAGTGGTTGATATGATAGCAGCAGGCCATACAGGCGATTAACGCCAATTATTATGATTGAGTTAACTTTTGTGGGTGGTTCACAATAGAATTGTTTGATAAGTAGAGTGAGATTGAGTTTATTAATCGGTAAAGAATAACCTAGTAGAATTATCTAGTTAACAACTTAACTCTGCATGTAGTATATGGCATTAATAGAAAGTGAACAAGTGAACTAGATTTAATTTGAATTTATAAAACAATCAGGTGAGCTTAACTTAAATAGATAAAAATAAATAAAAAATCAAATACCTTCAAATTCGATAGTAATCTTCGTTTTCAATGCCATCATTTTATTCCTAAACAATTTCCAATCAACTAAAACTCCCCCATTGAATTTCCCCGCTTCTGCTGTCACTCTTCACAGCTTCGGTCTAATTAACGTAAACAATTTTTGAAACTCGGAAATAATCATAAAAAATATCTTTGGCAAATCCGATTAGGAGAGACGCCTTCGTCGCATCTGGCAATTGAAAAGTTTGCCAAGTGTCCTTTTTTTTTCTTAATTAAATCCCAAGTACTGGAATAAACTTTTATTATTGTTGCGCCACCGGCATCAACATCCTCCCACAATTTTTAATATTTTTCAATGTGCCAAAAGTGAAAAATCTCTCATTATTGAGTATTATGGAAAAATGACAGCCAGACCAAGGATCCCAATCCCTGAAGTTGCTGGAGTGTCAAATCATAAATATGCATCTAACGTTTATCTAACGTCTTTATGGCCCAATCCCACTGGCATTGTCTCTGAATTTGCCAAGTAGCTGAGAAGAGTCCCCGGCCCGAAGCTAGAAGTAGACTTAAAAGTAATTTTACGTCTGACTAAACATTAATGTGCTCAATATTTTATTGTTTGTTTGTTATTCCTTACTTTTGCCGTTTCATGGAGGCATCGTCCTTGCAAAAATCCAGTCAGAGTTGATTATGCGGGAAGCTTCAAAAACTTTTCCGGGAAACAGTAAGAAATTTTTAAATGGTTTTGTTTCCTTGAAGTATTGATTAGATGAAAAATAAATGGCAAGGATTAAGAGGCTATAAAATATTATATTATCTTAAAAAACTACCAAATCTAGAGCTAGTCTGAAAATAAAAGTGGCTTATCCAACTTTTAAACCCATTTTCCGCTGCACCTATCTTGGCTGTAACTTTGCCAAAAGACAGAGTCCAATTAAATACCAAAGCTCCGCAATTGCTGACCACAACTTGCTTTTGGCCAAACCTTAATTTAGCTTGTCTTGCACTTTGGCCAACACCTTTTTGGGCCACTTGGGCCGCCTTTAATGCAGAAGGGGATGTAGCTCAGATGGTAGAGCGCTCGCTTAGCATGTGAGAGGTACGGGGATCGATACCCCGCATCTCCAATTGGATTACTTCCTTTTTTTTTGTTGTTCTGAGAAAAATATGCAGACGTCGGCAGTTTTGTCTTTTACATTCTGGGGCTTATGTTGAGGAAGAAGTTGCCACTAATGAATATTCAAAGGTTGCTTTGTAGATGGATAGCGAGAATTATCCACGGCCCCATACTCGGATGCTTGCATCCCTCAAATGCCGCCCCCATGTCGACAATCAAGATGCGTAATTTGATTTGCGCCCTCATCACATCTTAACACTTGAAGAAATTTCATTTTTATGAAGAGATGGTAGCACCAACCAGCTGGAAACGGTACTTTTTAAGACTCTCTATTAAAAATGCTTAGTTTCATAATTATTTTACCTTAAATTGCATCTATAAACCCCCATTAGTTCATCACCTGTTTTCCAAGTGTATCCCAAAGGCTGAAGACTGCACACAACACATTGTCGCACATAAATCAGCACAATATGCCAATGTTTGTTTACTTGCCTGCATCGTAGAGAACTTTGGCAGCAATTAACCAGACAGCCACAGCAGTCAGAACAGTCAGCACAGTCGGAATGCGGAATTGACAGGAGCTGGGGACTCCAGAGGGCGGAAAACACGGTCCCAGGACGCCCCAGGCAGCCAAGGTAGCCAGGACTGGTGTTGTAAATGATACATGATGTGCTATTTATGAGGCAAAGGCTTTTGTTTAATTTTTTTTCGTTTGTCCCCAGCATGGCTTTGTTTTTCCACTTTATAGAAGGACTAACTTTTCCGCTTCCTTGACAGCTTACTAAGCTAGTTAAGCCATTGAAACTTTCATGTCGTTGGGATATTTATGTATTTATTTCCATATTTTTAATTGTTTTAAGTGCTTTATTGTCAGGTTTGCAGTTTTGTTTTGTAAAAAATAAAAAATATATCATTCTGGAGATGCGGGGTATCGATCCCCGTACCTCTCACATGCTAAGCGAGCGCTCTACCATCTGAGCTACATCCCCTTCTTGGTTTTCATTGAATAACGGTGAAATATCAATAGCTTGGTTCACTTACCTCTGGACAATTACCAGTAGTTTATATAAATTGGTATGCAAGTCATTTAATGACCTGGTTACAGTTTCGTGGGCCAGGTCTGAACTGGTTTGCAGCTTAGCGCTAGCTTGGGTGTGGCGTTTGAAAGCCAAATGTCCACTCTTTAAGCCCCAACAGTGGCGTAGTCCAAGAGAAGGGGTCTATTTGAAGCCAAATTCCATTTGCGGAATTGACTCCATTATTTTCCAGACCTATTTTTGTACCTATTTTTCCAACACGAGTGAGAAAACCCAGTGCATCGAAGAGACCCCCAAAAAATAAAAAATCTTACCATCCTTCTTCAAACCTACTACGAATTTCCAGCCGAATTAATATTCATAACGCATAGCGGAAAGAAAAAATAAACTTTGCAAAATTTATGCAGTGATGAGTGAAAAAGGATGCCACTCCGTGATGTCCTGGCCCGTCTTACAAGCGAAACCCTAAGCAAACAACAATAAAGAGGTGCCTTATCGGGAACCGGAAACGGAAAAAGTCCCCCAAAGTCACGGTGGCGTATGTGACAAGTCCTTTCTAATGAGCAGGAATAATGCACGTTTGCAAGAAAGCACCTACTGCTCAAATCAAGCTAAAAAGTCGCCCTCAACTAATAAACTTTTCCCAGGCAAAGTCAATTAAAAAAGGAACAAAAATTGTACGTGACACTCGGAGATAGACAGGCTAAAAAACAGAAAAAGAAGTGGACTTGGAATGAGTTGTAACCCAAACTCAAATACTTCGTTGAGGCAGCAACTAAAAAGACACAGACTGTCTTGAAATTAAAATTACAAGACGCCTGAATAACTTTGGCTGTAGTCCCTGCCCCGGAGTCCCCGACTTTCTTGATTTCGTTCCGCTGGCAGGTAAATGCGAAGAAAAGTTTCTGAGGTAGCATTTCTTTTACGATTCGCCAGAGAGAAGTGCCACTTGCTACGTTTTTGTCATTAATTTTGTATATCATTGAGTTTTACGAGCCTCATAAATATGAAAACGTTTAACTCTTGCCAGTGGAAACAAAATTTGTCTTTTTGGGGGGGGAAATCCCATCCCCTTCTCCCCGTTGTATGAGACAAACTAATTGTCTTGTACTTGTAATGTGTTTTTAAGCGAAGCCACGCTCCCCACATGTTTTCACAATGTTTCCTCCGATAAACAACAATCTGGGGGGGAAGGAGCTTTAACAATTAGTGGGATGACTTGAAGGGTTCTTCGGATACGGCTTCCCTGCTCGTGTGCAACAGCTTGAGGTAATTTTCAACTTTTACTCTTTGTTTTGGCGTTGACAAGAAGCGTGCTGTTTTGTTTGGTTTTAATTAAAGCCCAAAACATATCAAGCTGAATGTGGGGGTCCTACTTTCAATGAAAATGTACTTACACCTTGGGTTCTTCTGAAGAAGATGTCTTTATTCCAGGAGTTTCAGTAAAACGATTAAATCTAAAAAGACCCATAGCTCCTCAAATTAAATTCAAAGTTTCAAAGACTCCTCATAGTCCAACTTTCTTACTTTTAAATTTTTAATTAGTTCATGTTACAAATGACATTAACAAAAAAGCCAACTGCTAAAATTTGTGGTCGTATATTTTAGCATTTCTTAACGAGATTTTTGCGAGGGGAAAAAAATAAAACAAAGGAAATTCGCACCTTTGCATACACAAATAGCTGAAGGAAAAATAAAACCGTTGTGGACTGCGGATGGGGTCAGAGGTTCTGTGGTTATAAATTTTAAATCTGTTAAATTAATGCAGCAGCCTTCTTTCATTTCACGGCTTGGTCTTACGTGCCACAAAGTTGCAAAGGAACTTGGAGCACGTTTCTTGATTACATTAATTATTCCTTTATTGTTTGTAAAACTTTTCACCTTTTTCGGTGGCTCAGCCTAGTTATATTTCTGTACCGCATATAATCTTTATTAATTAGCAAAGAAATTACAATTCTTCTTTTTTTCTTGTTTTTCAGTGGTTCGTACAGAGGGGTAAGTCCAAGAACACATAGTTTCTTTCAGTATTACAATTTAGTACAAAATTTCAGTGGAACAATAGGTATTTTGAGCGGAATTCTCCTTACCAACGAAACTATAAATCGAACTACCGAAACCGTGAACAATACGATGATTATAACGATAATTATAATCACAATTCACACCCAGATCGCCAGGAGAGAGACTATCCAAAGAGAACTGATTACCATTATTCCAGTAATTCAAAAAATGAAAGGAGTCCCAGCAAATATAGGGATAATCGGTACAGGGAACAGCGCTATAACCTCAGGCAAAGCGAAGATAACTATCATAGGGATTCTTTAAGAAATGAGATTAACTTTCATCGGCAAAACAGTCATAGACAAGAACCAAGTGAAAACAATAAGGCTTCTAAAGCTGATAGTGTTCCGGTTCTGGATAGAAGCAAGGATATTTCCGAACCAGAGTCTAGTAACGCTGCTCTTAAAGAGCAGAGTGCGGTTTTGGAGAAAGCAGAAAGGTTGGAGAAAGCCTCCAAGTCAGGCAGTACACCCACACGAGCTTCTAAGGCTGAGAAGAAAAACACAAGCCCAGTTGAAAAGCCTTCTAGCCATAAGCCCAACGATCAAAATCATAATCTGACCAGTGGGAGTAGTCCCCCAACTAAGCCAACTTCGAAAATTCAGGTTCGTCCTTTAACCGAGCTTTTAAAACAAGAGATCCTAGCCGTCACCAAGGAGAAGAGCTTAAATCGGGGACAACCCGATCGTCAAACTCCAACATCACCTGCTCCTGCCATTGCCAGTCCCAGTCGCCAGGCCATCAAGCCCAATTTGAAAAACCGCCGACGAACTGTGAGCTGCCATCAGAGCGCCATCCATCCTTCGAGGAGTGAGCAGGAGGTCAGCATCAATGAACGCATAGCCAGGTTGGACAAGGAGAGCCTCAAGTATATAATCAACAATAGCGATACGGTCTACGACGAGCACTTGAAGCTCCAGGCCCGAAGACGTTTACGAGATGAAATCCGGCGACAGCTTAGAGCCATTGAGCTGGACCAGCCCAAAGACAATCCTGTCAAGGACCTCGTAGAAGATGAAATCGTAGACGCCATTAAGTTGCCAGAGCAGCTTTTGCAGGAGATCGAAAAATGTTTTGGCATAAACATATCAGAAAATCATAAAGTGGTCAAGTCAAGCAGAGAAATCCAAAAGGTGGCAGAGTTAAAAGAAATTTGTACAAAAATTATATCTGAAAAAACTGCTGAAGAGGTTGTTAGTCCTTTAGATGCTGGAAAGGATGAAAGTCAGAAGAGCTCAAAGGATCTTATCAACGATACAAATGTTAAAGGTTTCAGTAATAAGACCACAAATCAGTCTGAACCTATTAAATCTTCCCAAGTGTCTACAAAACTTCTCAAGGATCACAATAAAGGCCTAAATATAGAGAAAGAAGATACCGACCAAAATAAAATAGTGGAAACTTCTAAAACAATAAAAGAGCAAAATGATCAAAATATTGCCATATCTAAAGCCAAGGATCTTGGGATAACAGAAAAGAAGGATGAAAAGCCCTTAATTAATGCAGCGTCAACGTCTATCGGGAGAGGTCATATATGTGAAAAAGACTCGCAACCCATGAGTCCAAATAAGGATCTTCCAGAAAACATCTTAGGCTTGGAAACATCCAGAAAACATCCAAAGTCCTCCAAAGTAGCTGAGGTAATTGCCGAAAAACGACGGCTTCCATTGCTGCCAACTCCAGGGTGTGGGTTGGTTTCTAATAGTTCTTTTGTTGAAAGCCAACTGACTCAATCAACCAGCCTATTGCCAACTCAGAACTCTCAAGAAATCATTGAAATAGTCGAGACAAGTCCAGAAACGTCTTTAAATTCCATCAGCGACCATATGTTTCTCAGCGATGTTCAACATTCTCATATGAGCTGTAAAAGGGAGTCTAGTAGCTCCCCTATAATCGAAGTTAGAATGCCGGAAGACCTCGTGGATCTTCTGAGCTCAGACGATGATGTAGTAGAAGCCGTTGACATGGAGGTGGATGAGTCCGAAGGTGAGATAGTGGAAAGTGAGTTTGCGGAATTACGAGAACCAACCCCACCGGCAAGTTCACAAGATAACTCTGAAGCTGGCATGGAGTTGGATAAGCCCGAAGATGAAGTAATAGAAAGTCACATTAACTATGACGAAAACGTATCTACTGACCCGCAAGGTATCACAGAATATGAGAAAAATCGGCTAAAACTAAAACTACAAAGCATGGCGGATAACGTGGTAGATAGTTTTGAAAAGCTAATTCTACCTAATCTTCGCGAGTCTCTTTCGGAGAGTTATAGTCGCAAACACTCTACTAGCTTACAAAGCCGACTCCACTTCATATCCTGCGTCGTGACCAGCTCGGAGCACAATAGCCGCACATTCAGCAAGATCGAGGTGGCCAAGATCCAGAAAAATCTGAAGGCAGCTGACAACCAACTGGCTATGGAGTTCCTTATAGGAGAGATTGTGAATGTCATCAATATGCAGAAACAGCGTCTACGGGGACAGGGAGAGAACAACCAGGAGAACCTCTCTAGAAGGCCAGAATCAGAAGCCAAGGAAACCGGGAAGGCATCACATATCAATAATTCACCAGAATATAGGATTACTTCTGCATTAAACCCTCGTAGCAGCCCTCCTCCTTTGGTTCCTATCCTAAATCCTGGCTTTCCATCCATCCACCCAAGTATTACGCCTTACCCCGTAGGTCTGCCATTTTTGGCCACGGATTCTAGCCTTCATCGCATTGCTTCTAACACTCCTGCTAGCTTTGGTTATCCTCAGCCTGGTGCTACAATCGATTCTATGGACCTCTCCGACCAAGTGGGTCAAATAAATGAGATTGATCGTCGCTTGCTGGAGAACCAGAATCGCCGCACCTTTCTGGATGAAATGATTATGAAGTTTCAGAAGGAAAGGTCAGACCTGGAGTTGCTCAGCTTGGAACTACAAACTCGCAGGTCTATGCTACTGAATTCCATCCTTGCAAGGAGCAGACCGCCGATGGAAGCGCCTCCAGCTCCAGAAATCCCACCACACTCACCACCGAGGCCCTCGAAACGTAAACCACCTAAGAGACTGACGGCCAGAAGTGCAATCGCCAGACGAACTAGGAGCCAAACTCAAAAACCCATCAGAGTTCGTAAAGTACAAATGAAAAGGATATCCAAGTCCAAAGCGAAAGAATTGAAAGCTAAATCTTCGAAGGAGATTCCTGAAGAGGCTAAGAAAAACCAGCCAGGGAAATCGAAAGAACCTCAACCTCCGGATGAACCCAATATCAAAGGAAGACTGGAAGAGTCAAGCCCGAAGAAAACAGTGGATAATTTGCCCACTACCAAGTCCAAGCAATCTCGAGCTAAGAAGCCAAAAGCCAATGGAGCTTCTAATGTCGCCCAACCGCCACTGGCGATCATACCACCTCTTCCACCGCCTCCACCTCCACCTGAACCCATTCATCGTCTATCCTTTGAGAGACCCAATCTATATAATCCTCCGCCAACTGCCAACTATCCGAGACCAAACCCTCGTATAAACAATTTAAAAATAGGAAACATACCAAAGGGCAAGCTACACGACATCACTAGTCCCATCACCCAGATAAGGATATACAAAAAGTACGCGATAGCCGCATCCGAAGACGGAGATATCTATGTGTTCCATCTAGTCACCCACAAACTGGAGCGAAAGATCCCCAAACACAGTGAAGCCATTACGAATATGTTCTTGTGCGAGCAGGAGGCTCTGCTCTACACTACGTCTGTGGATGGCTTTCTCAAGAAATCGGCAGTGGATGTAAGTTATCTTAAATCTTATGGTATTTTCAATAAAAAATTTTTACTTTGTAGAACCTGGAACGAGTCCTGCAAACTACATATTTCAAAGAGCCCCTGCAATCCATTGACGTGGCTTGGGGTGCTGCCTTCATTGGCAGTCGTTGGGGGAAAATCTTCTCATACAATGTTGTGGTGAGTTCTATGTTCTATCTATCTATCTTAAAAACCCCTTCCTAAAACCAATACCTTTTGTAATTAATTTGAACATTTATATGTGGAGTGATCGAATGCCTCTCAATATATTCCCGCCACTTCATTTGACTCATTAAATATTTATCTGTCAAACAAATACTTGAACAATTTCAATTAAAATATTGAACTGCGACTGCCAAAAGGACAGCCACAAACTTCCGAGGGTACGAGGTCCTTACCTTGCCCAAGTGCCAACAACAAGAACAACACCACCAGGAGTTAACGAATTGGCAATGAGCGGAGCCAAAAACGAATGTCTAGAGTCTAGACAATGGAAATCAAATCGAATTTATTTTTTTGTATTTTCTCTCGCGAATTTAACAAATTGGATGATAGTACAAGGGAGCTTGGTGCCGGGCTGATACTTCATTAGAATATCTCGCGTGGAGGGTGGTAGAGAGCTATAAGTCTTAATTCTGGCGGAGATTCGATTTATGGCTGCGACGTGCTGATAACTCAGACTCCCCCCAATGCTGCAGTTATTGCTTGGGAAGTTATGGTTGCCTTATAGTCCTTTTTTGTTAAAAATGTATAAAAAAATATTAGGAGTACAGTTTTTAGTCAAGAGCTAGAGCTGTGAAGGCAACTATATTTTCCCAGCAGGCGACTGTACCCCCAATAGCCCCAAAATATCGTAGGAGGCATCTATTTCAGCATCCTTGGTAGGTGCAGTCTGGAGCTTTCGGGTAGTTGGTAAATATGCGAAGATGCCACGCCCCACACTTAGCACGTAGACACTTAACGGTGCACATAGAGGGCGTTGCTGGGTATTGCAGTTTTTGCCCGGCTAGTAGCTGCCTTGCTGCTATTGCTTGATATTTTGCTTTGGCTGCTGTTTTGTGTTTTATTTTTGCCCTGTTTGCTGCACGTTGTTTGGTCGACGAAATCGGCTAGGAGTATATAGCCCTCGTACATAGCAGTGAGCCTGGGGGTTAGTTGCAACAAACAACAGCAAACTGCATTTGCAGTGCCAGCATGCTATCTCGCTCGCGCACTCATTTCCGAAGAAAAGGATATTCCTTTTCTGCTCCTCCCCTCTCCAAAAGCTCTCTATTGTTGTTTATTTAAGTTTTTATGTGTGCCTGTTTAGTTAACAGTATATTTTGCCGGCACTCACTCTCCCTCTCCCACACTGCACTGCGCATGACTTGCGCCTGCAGTTCACCGTTAGATGCATATAATAGTTACTGCCATTCGTTAGTTTTTTTTTTTGGCAGCAGCAAATAAAATGTTTATATGCTATTTACCCAAAACAATTTTAAATAAAATAGAAGCCGCCGAGTCACCTCCCCCACACGACGAAGCTCTCGTTCTTGCGCTCCGACTTTTTGGCGAGGCTGCGCTCTTCTCAGCTTGTCTCTCCTGGCCTCTCTTTTTGGCGCTCGGCTGGCTGCAAGTAGGAGAGCCTTCCAAGGAGCTGCAGTTGGAATTGTCCTTGTGCCTGTTGCTTCTTCCTTTCTCGCGTGCGCTCTCTCTCTCTCTCTCGCACTCTCGCTCTTTTGGCCAGGTCCTGTTTTTGTTGTTGTTGTGGCGTGGGCTTTTCTTGCTGGTTGGCTCCTGTTTTGTTGTGTTGTGTTTCTGGAAACTGACGCCTTGTCTATGGGTTGTGTTGGTGTGTTTTAGTGAGCCGGAGTGTTGGTGCGCTCGTACCGTTTTCTCATTGGCTGCTTTGGCCAAATCGGGTTGGTTGTTTTTACCGTTATGTGGCCCGTAAGTAACTGTAACTCTTTTTCGTGTTTATATGGCATTTTCTATTGTTGTTCTCTGTGGCAAATTGCATACATAGATGGGTGGGTGTGGCAATGAAGATACCCGGCAGCCTGCAGGCCTGTATCCTGGGTTGCAACCTGCAGCCCACAACCACTAAATAAACACATTCCCACTGCCACTCCCGCTGCGCCGGCATTTAATATCCCAAAAGCGATTTATTTGTATTTTTTATTTCTTTCTGCTCCGCCATCTTGTCGAATAGCTAAGAACATAACGGTACATAAAAGTGCACTACATTTCTTCATCTCCTCCCACTTTCTGTACATTTTATCAGTGCAGAACTAGGGGTGTCATCTTTCATGGAATGGACACCTCCTCTATTTGGTTAGAGTTCCTTCGATTGAAATTAACTTTTTTTTAGAATATTTACTATGTTTTGGGTGAAAAGTTTTATTAATTGGTATTTTTAATTACGAATACTAGATGCACTTGGTATTTCCACCGAATATTGCATACTTTTTGGGATAATGTACGGACGAGACAAACTTTGGCCGCAAAATAAATTCACTTTTTTTCTCTTAGCCTTTGAAATGATTACCTATTTAGTGATTTTAGAATAATTTTTATTTAAGTTAAAAAATGATATAAAGATATTGTTGATTCCTGTCAATATCACTCATACGCACTATATGCCAATTCTTCAGTTTATTTAAGAGAATTTTTTGTTTTGTAGACAATTTTTTGTTGTTTTCGTAGGCTATTGAACTGTATCTGTTTAAACTCTGTCTATTTAATTTAAATTACTATTAGGTACCATGATAACAATTGTCTAAGTGATTTTAAAAGTTTATGTCAACATGGCGTATGATTAATCATTTTCAGACATATTAGAAAACCCATTCTATAATGATAACAGTTAGCTTACGGTTTTAAAAAGGCCCCACAATCGCTCCCCCACAAAATTAAATTATAATTACCCCAGGTGAAAGCATTTATAGATTACATTTTTATCTTATCAAACGAATTTAAAAGTGTACTCAAATGCATATATGTATGTACTACGTTGTCTGTATCTATAATATATCTACGCAACACACACTATGTTTATTTATAAACGCATTAAAATTAATTTTACTTTTGTTGACCATTTCGTTTTGGCTTTAAGTTCGTAAACGTAAAACTCATGACAATGCACTTTTGGAATTTAAATGAGCCAGTTAGCCGGTTAGTTTCGGAAGCCAAGACACTTATTATCAGTCGAAAAGATTGTAAAGGCCAATAAAAATGGTCAAATCACGACGGGGATGTAGCTCAGATGGTAGAGCGCTCGCTTAGCATGTGAGAGGTACGGGGATCGATACCCCGCATCTCCAAAGGACTCTTTTTATAAATTAATTTAATTTTTTTAATAAAAATGTATTTTTATTTCGTGCTACACCTTTGCTAATTTTGATTAAATATTACTTTCTTTACGTACCACTTTCAGACCAATAAAATTATAGACAATCCTTTGCTTTCCACCGGCCAATCGATAATCGCAGTGAAAGCCACAAAGGAGGGTATCCGCAAAATACTTTTGATTGGGTGCAAAGGGAACTTTGTCCTCATGCACGATGCTGGCAGCGGTTTGCTTCTGCGACAATTTGAAATTCCTGAGGGTCTAAATGTGTACAGTATCCTTTTGGATGATAATTACCTCTACTGCGGCACGCAGAAAAACGAGATTTTTCAATTTGAGTTTGTTGTAAGTACTTAACTAACGTTACTAACTAATATAATACCCGAAATTACTAAATTTGTATACCTTTTTAGACAGGTATCTTGACAGGCAAGTTCAAATGTGGCAACGGTGCTGTGTCCATAGCCTCCTACGAGGATCGTTATTTGTTGGTTGGATGCTATGATGGCTTTATTTACGTCCTGGACAAAGTTGCTGGAAAAGGAGTGGGAAGCTTTAAAGGGGCTGGGCGTTTAATTTTATCCCTAATCGTTGCAGGCGACAAAGTAAGTCCACAAATAACCAAAATGATTTTAAAATAAACTAAAATTTTTTTTTACTTTTCAGATAGTGACGTCTTCGAAAGATAATAATCTAGAAATTCTGGAAATTCCCAAACATATGGTTAATTGACAGTGAAGAGCTCATTCTAGTTGTAAATCGATTTTAATTTAACAATTTTACACACACTTGTTTTTATTATACATTGCAACTTAATCTTTTATCGTTGATTAAGTATGTCGTTCTCTGTATTTACAGTTGGATTTTACATTTTTTTGTCCAGTTACCAATTGTGTATGGAATTGATTATTTTTGAAGAATATTTCTTCGTCGTAATTGTGAATAAATCAAAAATAAAAAGAGAACCGATTGTAAAAATATGATAGTACGTAGATATATTATATATAGGATATATGAGGGGTCTTTAAGGAATTTGCGGAGCCCGCACTGGTCGGACATTGGTCTGCATTTGATGCAGTTTCTGGTTGAGCTTGTGCGTATGGTCACGCAGGTAGGCAATAAGGTCGGCCTGCTTCTCCAGCAGCTCAGTGGTGTCGCCTCCGGGTTGCATGAGACCCAAAGAACCGCCGGCACGATCTGTGCCGCGAAGAACATCCGGGACAAGCTTTGCGTTGTTAAATTTACGCACTTTGTCTGAAATGAAAGTACATATTAATACATATATTAATAAGCTTAGTTGTAAACTTAAACAGAATTCATTATTTGAAGATAAAGAGTGAAGAATTTTGAGTAATGACTAATCATTTTGATTGGATTCTCATCCCATATGACTAAACTTCACTGGAATGCTTTTAACTTAATTTCAATAAAAGTTTTGCAATTTTAGTTGCAAGTTCTTACCTATATAACATGAGTGAGTAACTGTAAGAACCAGGTTCTCAGCCACAGTAAATGCAGTCACATAGCTAACCGGTGAGAGCCATCCTGCGGCGCAATGTTCCCAGAAGTTCTCGCCATAATAATGATGGATGAGCGCTTGGACGGCTAAAAGAGCAGAGTTCCACAGAGATACCAGTTGCAGTGGAATGCCCTTCTGCATGTTCGTTTCGCGATGGAAATCGTGATAGCCATTCATGCGCAGATTGTCGTGCTGTTTCTTCACAAAGTGGTCGAAGAGCTAAAAATGAAAATAAATCGTCATTGGGGCAGGTCGGAGATGAGATAGTCTGAATGCCATTGATAGCTTACAAATGTGATGACCCAGAAGGTAGCCCGTAAGTAGAGCATTATGAAGTACGCATCGCAGCGTTTCTCTGCCGGATACGAGGCTGCCAGTACGATGCCAACAATTGAGATAGTCGTGGAGATCAGCAAATGCAGGCTATGTGGAAAAACCAGAGTATATTAAAGATTTGCATTGAATTTGAAAAATTAAAACAACTATAAAATAAAAACTTTTCTGCATCTTCAAATGGTTTAAAGTTTTATCTAAGTACGCCAGTAGCTCATGAAATGTGTCATAAATTTCAAAGATATATTAAAAACAATGGATGATTCATGGCCTCCGCCGGTGGAGCCTCTTCTCCCCTTTTAATCCCCTTTTCCCATTTTAGACCGTTTCCCGCATAGCCTCACCTAAATGCAGGCACTGTTTTTAGCTTGAAACTTCCATTGTCGTTTGAGAACAGTACAGGATCGAGCAGTTGGTCGGTGTCCTGTAGGTGCACGGGAGATACGCCCGGGTGCACAGCCCCTCCGCCTGTTGCTTGGTGATCCATTTATGAGTCGCAACAATGCGTAATTCACAGAATGCTAGCTGTTTTTCTTTTTTGCTTTGTTTTGTTTGTTGTCGGCTTGGGCGGAACTGCCAACTCGTACCGCAACTTATCGATAAGTTATATGCTAATTTACAACACTGACCATTTAAACTGTCTGTTATTATTTGAAATTTGGTAAAACATTTTTATAATTTTATCACAAAACAAAAAAGTTTTCAAGAAATATTCCTAGACTTTAATAAATGTTTTCTAAGCACGTTCAATTTTTAAAATTTATAAGCGATCGATTACGATTTTTCATCGGAGACAGGTAGCTCAAATTGCTTCCATCCCTAGTCCTGGCTTTGTTTTTTTTTTGAATGCTTGCAATTGGATTTCTTGATCTTTAGCGGGAACGAAAACAAAGATGGATTTAAATACGCCTCTGCCGCGACGCAACAAGGATTTGATGGCCGCCCTAGATTCCGACGAGGACAGCAATACGCCTTTCCGCCAAAATCGATCGGAGGCACGAGAAGCGGCAATGAAATTTAAGGATAAAGCCAGGGGGAAGGAGAACGAGCCCATTACAAATACGCCCATGGAAATGTTGTAAGGATTCCCTTTTAGGCCATGAATTCCTATACTTAAGGATCGAAAAGGTGGAACAAGGACTGCACCCAAAAACATACCTAAAGAATATGCCATTTCTTACAGTTTTCTTCTCTCAAGACCCTCAACACTCAAGATAGTTTTCTTCACTACTTTTTGCAGACCTCGTCGTGCTTCTGAGATGATGATGATGGATTCTGACAGCGAAGAGGAGGATAAGAGTAACCACAACCTCAACTGCGCGATCTTAAACGACTCCTTTGTGTTGAGCCCAACTCACGATCTTACGGGCAGTACCGGCACCATTTCCGCCTCTAGAACCTCCGCCGCCGCACCTCTAAAGCAGTCCGATTCGAATCTTTCGTTTCTCGGTCGATTCGGAAACATGGGCATCAATTGTAGTGGTCAGAAATCGCCTCCAGCGGCACCAGTAACCACAAAAGCACCGCCTCCTACGACCAAATCCATTGCGGAGAGACGTCAGCTGTTAGACACGGAGACTCCGTTGAGAAAAGGTGTTACTTCCTCCTCATCCTCCGTGACTGCAATGAAGTCACAGGCTAAGCCCGATACAGACTTTGTAACGCCACAAGTTCGAACAATAGGCTCCACGCAGGCTGGAAAGAGTCGGGCAGCCGTGACAAATGAGTTTCGCTCACAGAAGGTACTTTTCCAGACCCCGATGACTGTGAGCCGGGCTGCTCCCTTTCCTAGTGACAGTATTAATTTCTCGCTGTGCGACACCATCAGTGAAAGTCCCGACATCCCAGAGCCGAAAAAGGAAGACCCGCTAAACGGGAAGTCTAAAAAGTCTTTGGACTTCTCGGAGGTGGATAAGGAGAAACAAATAAAGGAGCAGCCCAAACTGGAGACAATCGAACCGGCCAAAGAGCTAATTTCTGTACCCTTAGTCACAGCTGATCCACAGTCCAATCCGAAACCATCAAGCACACTGAAGATTAAGAACCACGAGTATGTGATTGTCAAAAAGCTAGGATGCGGTGGCTCCAGTTCGGTTTATTTAGCCCGGCGGTCGGACTCTGGGGAAGAGTTCGCCCTTAAGGTAGTGGATCTGCAGGCTGATCCTCAAGTGGTGCAGGGCTATCTGAACGAGACTAAGCTTCTGGCCAAGCTTCAGGGCAACGCTTGCGTTGTGTCCCTCTACGATTAGTGAGTTAATATTTTTTAGATTATGGAAGTATATTACTAATTTTTTTTAAATTTCAAGTCTACTATTGCGGGAGGAGTTTAAATTGTATATGGTAATGGAGAAGGGTGACTGCGACCTCAACAAGATCCTCCAAAAGTACACAACCAACTTGCCGCTCTACAGTTTAGTGAATATTCTGTACCAGATGCTGCAGGCTGTCAATTACATTCACCAGAACGGGGTGATTCACTCGGATCTGAAGCCAGCCAACTTTCTGATGGTTAACGGAAGATTGAAGCTCATTGATTTTGGAATCGCCAGCAACATTGCGGTGGACTCGACGAGCATCATTAAGTTTTCGCAGGCCGGCACCTTCAACTACATTAGTCCCGAGGCGCTAACGGACACATCCACAGGAAACAGTCCGATGCGAAGAGGTAACCAGCCCAAGATCAAGATATCCACCAAGTCGGATGTATGGTCGCTAGGTTGCATCCTGTACCTGCTTATATACCAGAAGACGCCCTTTGGTCATATTCGAAATGTTTACGCCAAGATGAGTGCAATTGCGAGTCCGGCGACCAGCATAGAGTATCCTGCCTTACCACCCTACTATCCAGATATGCTGCTTCAAGTGAGATGGACAGAAAACCTGTTCCAATGGTCATAAAACTTACAAGTGTATCCTCCATTTCAGATGGTAAAAATATGTCTGCAGCTGAATCCCAAAAGGCGACCATCTTGCACTGAACTTCTGCAGTATCCATTCCACATGCTCATTCCCCTCCAGAACCTTCAGATCCCCGCTAGAACCGCCGCCTCCTCCAACAATTAGCCATTAAGATTAATTATTTAGTAGAGACCTCGAATAAAAAACGATGGTCGAGTGTCTTTGTCATATGTGTGTGTATGTATTTAATTCTCATTTATCGTAATTATACATCATAAATCATTATAATGCAGCTATAGCTCATTCATATTTGTGTCTCATTATGTGGTTGTTGTTGTTGATGATGGGCTTTAATTTGTTGTCTCGCCTAATTTCACTTTCTTAGTTTACAATTATGTGTGTTTTATCTTTTCATGCAACAGGTTCTCGACAATTAGTCGCTAATTAGCATTCATGCATTTAATTCGCGTTCACTTATAAATTAATTTCTCATTTAGTTTTTATATAAAAATAGTTTTCTTGTTTATATACGCTTAATTAAATGTTGCTGCTGCTGGGCTGCTCATGCATTTGGGGGTTCAATACTCTGCGCTGATTGGGGGGGGTGGGAAGGTGGAAACAATTTAAAATCTCACAAAAAAAAAAAAACAGAAAACAATTATGGAAACATACAGTACAGTACAGTACATAATAAAATTCGTCATACACATATATATATACTAATTAGTTTTTTTTTGTATATTTATGGATTTTCCTTTTGAATGATTGGGGAATAAATTCATTTGCTTAACATAAGATACATATACAATTGTTGATAGCGCGTTTTAAATGCAAGTATAACATAAATAATAACCGCATGCGTAGTAGGATAAATAATAAAAATAAGAAATTAGCAGCAGCAATGGATTTTGTTACTGTTTGTTTTTGTTTTTTTTTTCTATTTTGTGGGAGGGCTTGAGTGGAAAATGCCTGGATTTTGTTGTCAGACGACTTGGGCGTTTTCTTCGCTAGCTTATCTTCTCTTCATTTTTCTTTTTTTTATAAACATTGCACAAGTTTCGATTTTTTGTTTGTTATCATTATCTTGCCTTAGCTACGTGTATATATTTTCTTAAAGCATTCCATAGTTCTCATTCTCGTAATTGCAGATTTTTGCTACTTTAAAATGTTAAATGTTGCTGTTGTTATGGGATCAGGAGACAGGACATGCTATGCTTTACGTTCTCTTTTCAGTTTCAACGCCATCCTTTCATGTCGCATTAACTTTAAACTTAATAAATCGTTAGAATTCTTGTTGTTTTGCTGTTGCGGTTGTTATGGAAGTTAGACAAACTCTTCGAATGCTTGTCAGTTTATCGTCGTTGTTGGCTCCTTCTTCCGGTTATTAGTTTTCCGTCAGTGCGACATTAAATGTCCTGAAATGCAAACAAAAACAATTAACAATTATTTTATTAAATGGGGTGTTTATTAATTAGTTCCCTACCTGTTCCCCGTTGGAGGCATGCTGCTGCAGCTTAACAATAAGCTGCTCCTTCTCGTCAACAATACCACGCCAGTGCTCGTCCTGTTCGCGAGCACGATTCTCCAAGTCCATCAAAGTGTTGGTCTGCAAGAACGTTAAGATTACTCCCAAAATTAAAATAGAAATATAATAGACTTACAGTCTTGGTGACCAGCTGGGTGAGCTTGTCGTTGCACTCGCGCAACTGCAGGTTCTGTTTTTGCAGCTCCTTCTGCTCGGAGACTGCTGAGGGGGATTGGCTATTCGAACTACTATTATTGCTACTAATATTATTGTGGGTGCTGTTGTGGTTGCTGCTACTGCTACTGCTGTTTGATTGTGTGGACTTATGACTACTGCTGATCTGCTTCTGCAGCTTCTCCTGCTGCTGTTTAACGTGGGTGGTCAGGACCTGTTCCAGCCACTGGTCGAACGAGACCTGCAGGGCGCTACCCGACTGCGCCTTAACGGCATCTGGGTATAGGCGAAGGTAGAGATCCCGGATGCGCTGCTGCTCGTTCTTCGCCGAGCTGGCACTTCCTCCTCCACCATTCAACTGTTGCTGCAGCTCTTTGTTTTGTTGCTGCAAAGTACGAATGATAGAAATAATTAATATTTAAACAATTAACTATTATTATTTGAGGAGAAAATCAGAAAGAGCAGGCAATAATCGTGCACTTACACTAATAGATTGCGCTGTATTTGTTTTCGTATTGGCCGTTAAGGCTTCGGCATTTTGCAAAGCTTCGATCAGCTTCCAATTTTTCAAACGCACGTCCTGACGAAACACAAACACGTGGCAATTAGTAAAGGATGCAGGAAGTGAGGAAACAACAGCAAGCGAGTGTGAGTAACTAATACTACTTAATAGATTTAACAAGTCAAGCTACTTAACTACTTGGCTAAAGACATTTTCTTACATTATTCTTCTCCCTCTGCTCCTGAAGTTCCAGCTGTAGCTGCTTCTCCTTGGCCTGCAGCTGCTCAGCCCGCTGCTGGACCTCTTTCAGCTGTGACTGCAGTGCACTAGTCTGCTTCTGCTGCTGGGCCTGCGCCTCTGTCACTGATCCGAGCTGTGAGCGCAGAGCGGTGAGCTCTTGCTGCTTCTGGGCCAGGGCTTCGGTCTGGACCAGAGCCTGCTCCGACTGGGCAGCGGTCGCTTGAACAGCAGTGCTGGCCGCTTTGCTGAGCTGCTGGTTCAGGGCCTGGTTGTTGGCCTCCAGATCCACCGACTGCTGGCGCAGCTCCTTCAACTCTGCAGTGTGTACGCGCTGCAGCTCCGACTGGGCTTGGGTCAGAGTGCGCAGCTCTTGCTTCAGCTCGGTGTTCTCCTGCTCCAGCTGCTTGCGCTGCTCCAGCTCAAAGACGCTGTTGTTCTGGCGCTGTTCCAGCTCGTCGCGTTGCTGTTCCAAGGCCGCAATTTGTTGGGCTTGCTGCTGGATCACCTCGTTCTTTTGCTGAGTCTCGGCGTTAACAAAGGCTGTCATGTCAGCCAGGCACTTCTCCTTGTGAGCCAGATCCTGCTGCAGGCGCTGTAACTGTGGCAAAAGGTCCTGCGAGCTGGCCTGATTCTCTCGCAATAGGGTCTGGAATAAGATGAGGAACAATTAATCTTAGTAAGTCACTTAATCCCTGAATTCTCACCTGGAACTGCTGTCGCTCGAGCGTGAGCTTGTCATTCAGACTGGACAGCTCCTGGTTAACAGCAGCCAGTTCCTGCTCCTTGCCCTGCAACTTATCGTTGTAGGCCTGGATGCGACTGTGCATCTGAGCACGCTCCGTGTTAACCTCCTGGCGCAGCTCGCGCAGCTTGGCTTGGATGCCGATGGAGGCCTCCTGCTCCTCGGCCAGCAGCTTCTCCTTCTCCTCCAGCTGGCGCTTGAGCTTCTGGCAGATGTCGTCGGACCACTCGGCATGCGAGGCAGGCATGTCCTGCTGCTTATTCAGCAAATAGTCGATCAGTATTTGGATCTCGGAGCGATTGAGTTCCGCGCGAGAAAACACGTTGATGAGGGCGTTGACTCCGATGGTCTGGTTCTGGTACTCTGCCAGCTTGTCCAGAGCTTGGGCCAGGTCCTTGGCCGTCAGCGTTTCCTTCTGCTTTTGCTTCTGCTGTTGTTTGGTCTTGTTGTTGGCCTGGTTGTGCTGCGTCTTGGGCGATCCGTTCTGCTGCTGTTGCTGCTGCTGCTTGAGGATCTTGGGTGCAGTCGGTGGCTCGGGGTCAGCAGCAGCGGGCTTCTCCTTCTTAGCGGCGTTTCCAGCTCCGTTCTTCTTCTGCACCTGCTGCTTTGTGTTGTTATTGTCCTCCTTGCGCTCCTTTTGCTCCTGTTTCTTCAGCTCAACCACATCCTTGGGCGCCTTGGCCTCAAAGTTGTTCAAAGCGGGAGTCTCCTCCAAAGTGGCAGCCTTGACAACCACGGTTTCGTTCTTGTTGACCAGAATGCCGGCAGCTTTGTTGTTGCCGCCACCGTTGCGCTTATCCTTCTTGCCCTTCTTACCGGTGGCGGAGGGTTGGTTCTCCTTTTCAGCCACACTGCTGGGACGACGCTGTTCATTCAGGATTTCCGCATCGGGCTCGAACTCAACGTGCTGCTTGGACAGTCCGGGCTCCTCGTCTGCCACAGAACCTTGACCCTCCGACTGGCCATCAGAGTAGTCCTCGGCCTCCTCTGGCTCCGGCTCATTGTTCGCATCCCGCTGCTGCTCGCGCTGGCGCTGCTTCTTCTCGCGCTTCAGTTCCTTCTTCTTGGGCTTCTTGGCCGCCGCTCCACCTGCCGCCTTGTACAGATTGGCGTTCAGTGCCCGCTTCTCTGCCACCACCTCCTCGAATGTCTTGCGCCGGAAAATCTTGTTAATAAACAGGAATGAAAGCAGGGAGGCGGTGAACACACAACCGATGACGATCAGTATGTGGAAGTCCATATTTGCATATCCTTCCGTTTCAGCCGTGGGGTCTTGTGATCTCCTTTACGTTAGTTACTGAAATGGAACAGAATTTGGAATCAGAACCAGAAGGGACTATACTTTTTAATAATAAATCAATAAGAAAGACCTAATTGCAGGGAAAACCCCATTTTAGACCTTTATTACCGTTTAATCAAAGGGAATTTCTAATCTTACTGGAGGTATAGATGGGTGTTTGGGTCACTCCGCTAGAACCTTCGCTATCAAACACAAAATACCGACTAAACCGAACTATATGGTACTTGAAACAATGTGGTGACGTGGATCACACCAATTATAGAAAGAAAATACAGGAATTCGAAGGGAAACTCAACGAATCAATAGAAACCCGAATATGTACTAGTTTTATGGGGATACAATTTAGAAACTCGAGCTAAGGTTTGTACGTGCTTATCAGTCACCGGCCGGTGAATGGTACAAACACAGATACCCAGCCTACTGTATGACTAAGTTGTTTGTGCAGCAGTCGGTGTTGGCTTGACGTGTTATTAATAAAATCGCTTTCTCGACTGATAATTCTTGTTACTTTTTAGTTTTTTTTTTCTGTCAAGATAAGTCAATCCACTGCAAGTCGATTCAATAATCCCACAAAGGACATCCGCTGCCCTAACCGCAAAGTAAAAAAGGTCACTTTGATGAATGCAATTTTGGCTCGGGATGTGATAAGACCTCATCTTTAAATTTATGCCAGATGGAACATCCGCTGACCAGCCTTGAATGAAAGTCCAAAGATATTTTCCAACTAAAGGTGTTGATGCTTGATTATAAAAACACCAAAGAAGACACAAAATAACAAATTTTAAATAAAGCACAAAAATCAAGAAGCTGACGCACACGTATGCAAATTTTACGGCCGTTCACTGGAAAAAATAATTCCTCGACTGGTAATCTTCGAGAGACAATTCCGCGAGTCTTATTCGCTGGGCAAGATGCGAATGACAAGCCGAGAGATTCCCCGGGAAGTGGGGCTCGAAAGAATTGCGATCTCTCTTCGGCTCACCCACTCTCTGCACTGGAAAAAAAATGTTATTGATTTTTAAAACCGATCTCTTTATGAAATCAAGGTAAAATATTCCTAGAAATTAAAAGTCAAAATTTATTTTTCTATATTTGTTAATAGAAAGATTTCAGATAGTCTTCTACCTGTCTCTCCGAAGAGACCTTAATTCTTCTGGGTGCTTTCGCTCTTTCTACACTTGGGTCTCAGTCTCGGGTCTCGGTTCCTCTCCCGAGCCATCACATACAGTTAGAACTTGAAATTTCACTGCTTTCCGAGCTCAGTGGCAAAATTCACGAATTGCAAAAAATTTCAATTCAAGGTTGTTGCTCTCTGCGGCAGCGATAACTGGCAGGTCGGGTCTGCTTTTTTGGTTACTTTTTTTTTGTTTTTTTCTTCGTTTCTTTGCTGTTTTTGCTCGCGTCATGTTTCTGGCTAACAGATTCTGACTATGTCTTGTTTTTTCCCCACTCCCTATTCCAGAGAATACCAAGCCAGGTGAGACAGTGAGCTAACAATAGACTTTATTTTCTATCAAGCTTAAATAGTAGTATCAAGCATTTTTATCAATTAATTGAATTGAAAAAATGTTAAAACTTATCTGGCAGTGTAAGATCTATAACTTCTTGCGGTATTTACAACTTTGAACTGACATGTTTACACACGTTTCTAATTTTTTTGTTTGTCTATTTGCTCTTTAGAGATAGCCCTTGTATTTGTGTCTAAAAAGTTTAATTAATAATTAATTCTCATGCAAGGGGGTTTCCAATCAAACCAATCGATAGTAAGAACAGGGTGTTTAACGGCATTATTGGGTTTCGGGCGTAATGCTCCAATAAGACCAGCAGACACAAAAAAAAGAGCAAACACACTTGAAGAAAAAGAGAAACAACACAATAAAAACGCCGGTAAAGGTCATCAACCGGAAGAGCGACGCTGCGAAAACTGGCCATGCCAAGCCATATACAAGTGTATGTAAGTGTGTATTTGTGTGAAAGTCCAAATCTTTCTGCCAATTATCATTATGGCCATCTATAAATAATTGTGTATTATGGTATTACGGTCTGGCATGCAAATACAGAGGCTGGCTGTCGGCTGGCAGCTTGCCCTGATTACAACGACTGGTGGAACTGGCATCCAACTGCACAGTTGGCCTAATTTCGCATTTTCCCTCTCTGCCGCTTCCTTTGCTGGCTGCCCCAGTGTTCAATTAGCTGCTCCACACTCACTCACTGACACACACACAAACAGAGACATGCCGCCGCTGGCACTTGGAATTTCTCTTTGTCCGAGAGCCGGTCACAAATGAGAAAATGACTTTTATCGGAGATGGCATAAAAACGAATATCTTAAAAGCCCAAAAATATGAAAAAATAAAAGTGTAGTAAAAAATAATATGGTGTTTTATTTTAAGAATGAAATATAAACAACTAACAACTAAGCTACTTTTATAGATTTATGATAATGTCACATTAGGCCCTCTGGAACTTGTTATCCTTGAACTTGTATTGTACTGTTATCTCGACAGCAGCACTGATAGGGGATAGAAAATAGTATTTAGCTTGTTTATGAGAATTGCAGTGACAGCACTGATAACGGTGCAAGACCCCCATCCGCTCTCTTTCGCGCTGTCATGCTCGTCGGGAGAGCACCACAGCCATTCATTATTTCTTCTTTCAGTTATTCATAAATGCATTTCTGCGCCTGCTATTTTCAGCGACCAAGCGGTGGGCTCGAGTGTTTTAATTTTAGAAAGCTCTGCTCTCTTGTGTGTTTCTTGTAATATTTATGCAACATGCAATGTTTTATTTTCTTCCTAGGCTAAAGAGAGCGTAGCATGGGAGGGACGGAGGGGACTAGTTCGTCTTTCGTTTGTTTGCGTGGGAGCGTCAAGTTCGAATTATTTTTTTTTCTTTTTCTTTTATTAAATTTCTTGGTCCAGAGATGGAAGCTTGCCCTAAGATAGTGACTCACAATGCTGTATTTGTGTGTGCTCCTCTTCTCGGCTATAAATAAGAAAATTGAAAAGGCTGCCTGTTAATGATTATTGATTGCTGACGTCGCCGGGTGACTTTTCAACATCAATTGGCTTTCCCCCCAGAACTTTAGATACCGATAGTGACTTTATTAGTCCCAATTGGCAAAAAAAATATATAACGATGTACATATAATAAAGATACTAAATTATTAAGTCAAGAGTGGTTTATTATCTTTTCTTTGGGATCTTCACCAGAGACCTTATCGCGTGCATTTATGGGGGACTGCATGCCCCTCCCGCTTTCTCTCTTTCTCTCATCCTCCACCCTCCTCCCTCACATCACTTGGTGGCAACGTACGTGTCTTAATGTGTGTGGTGAGGTCAGCGCAGGCTGCCAACAATGTGTAAAATGTCAGAGGAGCAAAAAGAGGCAAGCGAATAGAGGCCAAGCACATCAATTATGCTTATTTCTTGTTTGATAAAATCGCAAAATGATGAGCATAGAAGGGGCTGGGCCATAGGAGGTGGCCAGACGACGGCGCCCGACTTTTTGGGAAAAATCTAATAAATCTGCAAGGCCTTTGTGTCAGCTGTCCCTTTTACTCATAATTAAGTGGCAAGTTGGGACAGTGAAAGTACACACGAATGCCGTGGCGAGATTTTCCTCGCCCTCCTCCCCTTCGGCGCTAATTGGACTTCTAATTGGCACAAAGAATAATTGCAAACCCATAAAATACCGCTTTCTTTGCTGACTTCGAGAAGACAAAAGGGCGTCTCTCTTATAAAAACAACAAAATGCAGTGCATCTCAGCAGCGCATACACACCAACACACTTGCACTAATGCCGCTCGGCCTCTCTCCATCGCTTTGTCCCTGTAATTTCCTATTAGTTTTTCAGCTATTTTTTTCTACCAACTTATAACTTGCAACGTCAACAATTTTCACAACATTTCACATTTAAATGCAGTTTTCTTTTTTGTTGGAAACGCATCCGCCATTTGCAAGCAAACTTGTGTTTGTGTGTATGCGTATGGTAGTGCGCGGGTGTGTGTGAGTAGCGTTGTCGCGTCGGCAATTTTTTCTTAGCCCTTTCGGCATCTATTTACGTTTGAACTATGGTGTTTATTAATCAAAAATTAAGATTGTACTTTTACTTAAGCCTTCCGGCTACGACTTACACTTTTAATATGTGTTTAGTTGGAAACTCGAAACATTTATAAACTACCGAACGAAGAGATGTCGAACAAATCGCAACTAGTGTTGCCAGGTGGAGTGAATTGTTGGAGATGACACTTATATATGTGTATTTTCCAACACCAAAGCAGAGGGATGGCAAGCATAACAGACTGTTCTCCCTACTTAACAGAGCATACTGGGAACAGCTACAAATATATAGTAAAAAATTTAGTTAGGAGAAAACTGATTAGGAAAATTACTTTTATGTAATATTCTAAGCATCTTTGCATTCAAAGCATCACCGGGTTAGAACCATTTATTTAGTTTCATTTTTATTTATTTTCATTTAGGGCCCAATGTGCATAAGTGGCAATATAACATTGTTAGTATATTTTTTAAATACTAACCTAGTTTTTAAGTTGTTTTACAACATTGACAGTTCTTCAAACACCATTTGTTGTTAGTTTTCCTTTTTATAAATAAATAGTTTTCTCTTGCTTTCTTTGCGGACCATGGCTTCTTTCTTCAAGGGCATAGTGCTTCTTGCCTCGCTCGCCACCTTCGTCTACTCGTTCTACGTGGTGGGCCATCTAGTGCTCTTTCTATCGTCTCCGCGTTCGATTTCCAAGGAATGGAATTGGGTTTTTAATTTACTGGACAACGAATCCCGTCTCCAGACAGCCTATGGGCCAGTAGTCTTCGATACCCTCTACTTGATCGGATTCATCTTTCAGCACAGTTTCCTTAAGTCAGCTTTCGTTAAAAATCTCCTGGCCAAATTGGGTTTGGCTGGGGCTGAGCGAACTATTTATAGTCTGACGTCATCGATTTGTTTACATGTTCGTATACCTGAAAAAAGCAATAACAACGAAACTTGTCCATGCTCATTATGCAAATGACTATTTCAGTACCTAATCCTAAACTGGGTGACAGCGCCGTCCATTGTCCTATGGCAAGTCGATGTGGAGGCAAGTGCTCCTCTTTGGTGGACCTTTGTGATCACCCACGGAGTTGCCTGGATTGTGATCTTCGGCGGTAGTTTGGTGATGGATCTGCCCGAATTACTAGGCGTTAAGCAGGCCTACTATGACCTGAAGGCTTATGGAGAACCACTTAAGTACAAATCCAGCGAATTGCGCAATTTATATGCGCATGTCAGGCATCCTTCGTTCGTGGGACTATCCCTCATCCTGTTGGCCACCAATGTAATGAGTGTGGATCGCTTCATATTGGCTGTGCTCCTTATTATTTATATGTATGTGGCCTGGTCGACGGATCACAAGGACGTGGAGTACCACAAACTGCAGCTGCAGCGCAAGAAGCTCGAATTGAAGGCCCAGTAACTTCTACATATCTTTAGTGTTAAGCTAACACGTTTTTGTGTTCGTGTGTATTAATAACTAACTCATTTTTGATTACTTACAAATTAAAAAATCTATTTAAAAAATTCAGTAGATATATTTTATAGAAAATACTAGCTTATTCGCACAACAGAAGGATCAAATGGCTGTCCTTTGAAAGGAGAACCTTCAGCATCCCAGGCGGTTCGTAAACGTTCAATGGTATCGGCCTGATTAGGATTTGAAGCCTGCAACTCGTTTTGAGCCTTATCCGCCGCAATTTGATCGAATCGCAGTTTTTCCAGAGTGGCTTGAGTTTCTTCTGGTAATTCATCTATGTAATTCTCACACTCTATTTTTTTGTGATCGATTTCGGGATCACCTTCAAACAGTCGCTCCCACCACAGATCTTTGGATTTGTCTGTAAAACAATAGATATTATTATGGTGTTTATAATTCTTAAAACCAATTCCCAACCAAAACTGATTATTAGTTTGTTCTTGTCAATGCTCCACACTGCCTCATTGTGCTTGATCCGCTGGCTGAGATTCCCTTCCAGGATAACAACATCTGGCTGGAGTTTGCCGCTTACTTTAACGCTCTGAGGCTTGATTAGTATACTTAGTTTCTTCGAGGATCGCATCTCCTCCGGTAATTTTACTTGAAGCTCCACATCCTTTTGGGTTTGTGACCAGCAATGGGTCTCAAAGATATCTCCGTTCCTATAGTCGTCGGGGGAGAATGTTGGCTGTTCCTTTCGTTCGGTAACAACAGAAGTTATATCTTCCATTGGGTGAAATTCTTCGTTTTCCACTGTTATTTCTTCGATGGCCAACGGAGCCACTTCACCATCATCACCAATTCCATCTTCAGCTGCCATTGTCTGAAGCCAGCAGTCCGGATCATGGCGCTGCATAGCGCCGTAAAGAATCTGATCCCTAACGCCCTGGGGGAAACCTATTTTATCCTTTTCATCAAGCTTTGTATGGTAAAAGTCGGTGCTGCAAGGGAAACCCTTATAAATTCAAGTATGTACGTATATAGTTTATATAGAAAAACGTGTACTTGCGCCGTAGAAAACCGAATATGGAGTCAAGAAATCCCGTAATTGTCTTTCGATCCTGCAGGATCTCCATTAAAATGGCATCATTGCGCTGGAAGTCCATAATTCAGACAAAAAATTAAAAACAAACTACTCCAAGATTTATTCGAGAGCTTTCCAACACTAAAAACTGGGGAGGAATCGGTTGACATATCTCATCTCTAACAGGAATGTTTTGGAGTTGGCTATGCCGATCCACTCCGTAATTTCAACCATAATTATTTATTGAAATGATCGGAAGGCTATCACTTTGGTACAAGGATAATGTCTCCCAGGAAGTCGACTGCCTGGGATGTCGGTTGGTCAGTGGTTTCGGCCTCGTCGGCATCGGAGCCTATCTGCTGGCCCAATCAAAAAAGCGTCCAAAGCTTTATGAACAATACACTATGAAGAGTTTGGCGGCCGGTAAGTTGGATTATTTTAATAAAAATTATGTAGTTCTAATCACACTCCATTTTCAGCTGCAGGATTTCTTGGTGTGGCCCGCTTAGCAGATGCAAGTTTTCTCAAGGCTCCGGCCAAGGAGCTGGAGGAGGAGGAAATTAAGATTCCGAAGAATTCCAAGGATCACGAGTTTTTTGCTAGACGTTAATTAGTTAAACTTTCAGTTGTAATTGGACAGAGATTAAATCTATCAATATTAATATAGACATACTAAATTTGATCGCTTTCCTTGCGGAATTCTCACTGGCTACAATTCTAAATTCTAGCGCTTTTTGCTATTTGTTTGATGGCATAAATATTTTATAAAACAATTATTTGTGTTTGTTTTTGCTTGGCTTCTGGTTAAAAGTCCTCTCATGAGATTAGCAATTTAATTTCTCTGAATTAAAAAAAAAAGTTTAAAAAATTTTGTCGCCTAGCTAGTCCGGTTATTCGAGCACTATCGGCCCACTTTGCCGAGCTTGGTGTCAGTCTTTGGATTGGCTGTTATGTTCTGAACTGCCACGATGGTCTCGTTAATGTGAGTCTGCAGTTGTCGAAGGCTCTGGATCTGGAGCAGTCGCAGGATACGCATGGGCAGGTCCAGGGCAGGATCGTTGGATGAGACTATGTCGTTTCCCTTATCAAACGGAAATGGTGTCCCCACAATTGGCTTCCGACCCCTAGCGTCAGGTGAGAGGCGTTCGTGGACTATCCGCGCCACAGCCTCCAACTGCAGCAGATGGTTGGGATGATGGGGGACGTTTAGTTTGCTGGCCAGCAGCCGAACACCATCGATAAACGCCTTGTCCTGAACTGTTTAAAGCATAAAATACAATTTGTTACAAGCAAATAATTAGTTTCAAGAGATACCCCTCTTACCATTGATTTTTCCTTCGAAAATTGATTGCACCTTTTGCTGGGTCTGCTTGCCATTGGTTTGGACCGATTGCTGTTGGCTGTTTATAGAGGCAAACTGCTCTGGATCGTCGAGGAACTCAAGACGCACAGCGTGACTCAGAATCCAGGCCAGCTCCTCCTGCTGGGACTCCAAACAGGGCATGTTCAAATCAGCCTTGTATTTCAAGTACCCCTCTTCCCACATTTTGGGGTTGTCCAAATTGCGCAGCTTTTCTCGGTCCTCGATTGTATATAGTCGGATCTTCTGATCCTCCAGCCAGAGAATTGTGCTAGCAAATTCCTTGCGATCTAGGGATTTCAAGAAAACGCGATTATTGATTTCCATTTTGCGCAAGATACTAAGGCCACTTACTGTTTAAAGACACGTCGGCTGGCGTGGGATGGCCCAATGCTTCCAATTTTAGCTTCAGCATGATTCCTTCTAAGTTAGTTAATTTAATATTCTATTTGAAATTCTTTAATATTTCTAATTTATAAAGTAAGGAAGCCGGCGCTTCTTCTTCCTTGATATGGAAGTTTTGAAGCTATCGATTAATTATAATGATGTACGTTGGTTGAGACCTGCCAACCTATATTAATTTCTACATTTTTGAGTTCTAAAAAAGTTTTTGAAGTTATTCAACTTCGAAAAATCAATTTTTTAAGATTTTGGAAGGTTTTTTCTGAAAAATTAGGATTAAACCACCGAGTGGTCAGTCCAAAGAAATTCACCATCTCTAGTTAACTTTGCCCATCCCTAAAAACGTGTAACAAACACGCGCGATTTGTTTTTCTATTTCAATTCAATTATTAGATTGCTTAAATGGCTCTTCTCACAGAAAACCGCAAAAAACAGAAGCAAGCTCCGCCCTCCGAAAGTTCCCAAGGGGAATCCGAATCGGAAGGCAGTCAGGAAGCTGGAAGCGATGTGGAGGGCAACGCCGGCTGGGCTGATTCCATACTGAAAGTACTGAAAACCACCAAACCCGAGACACAAAACAAAACTGTGTTGGCCCGTGCGAAAAACAGCCAGGGATCCGTGCGATCGCAGAAGGCCAAGAGCGCTAAGAAGCCCGACTACGACTTTGAGATAGAAAAGGCAGAGGTGAAGGACGAAGACGATGATGATGAGGAGGATGTTAAGCCGGAGTCATCTGCTCTAGATGCCCAATTGACCAAGCAACAGAGAAAGAATGTGCCCCTTCAGCTGCGCGTGAAACCCAGCTATAGGGACATGGAACGAGAACGAACCCTACGAAAAGTTGCCACCCGTGGTGTGGTCCAGTTCTTCAATGCCGTACGTATCCAGCAGAAGGATATACAGCAGCAGCTGGAGGACGCTGGCCCCCTTGACAGCCGGCAGGATGCCGTGCTCAACAATATAAACAAGCGCAAGTTTCTTGACGTTCTGATGAGCGGCAAGAGAGCTAAATCCACAGCCATCGATAATTCTGTAAAGAAAGAGGAGGATGACTCCGATGAGGATGATGATGAAGACGAGGATGAAACTGGTTTATCTTCCCAAGGTAAAAAGAAGTCGGAATGGAATGTCCTGAGAGAAGATTTTATGACCAACAAGAAGATCAAGCACTGGGACGAGGAAGACGAAGAGGATAGTGATCAGCAGAACCAAAACGATGATGCGGAGGATAGCGATGAAGACGAGAATTAGCTTTAATGATGCAATAAATATTAGCTTTACAGTTATAAGAAAATGCATTGTAACCTTTTTTTTTACTTTGGCAAAACTTTATGTTATCATTTCCGCCTTGGATATCATGTAGATGCTCACAATCAAACCAAAGAGTCCGATGGCTGATCCAAAAATCTCCACAATTAGTATCTTGACGAACAAGGCCGAGTTGGCCGCATCCGCTAGGGCAGCTCCGGAACCAACTATTCCGACGGCCACGCCACAGGATAAGTTGACTAGACCTACTGTCAGTCCAGCGCCAAACACGGCAAATGCCGTAAACATGTTGGTTTCCATCACCCGCCTGTCCGTAATAAGCCGCACAGTATTGAAATTCACTACACATCCTGACAGCAGGATGGCAGTAATAAGGCCATAGATAGCCACCGCCTCGCAGAAGATAATTGAAATAAGGTTCTTCGTCTTGATGCGCGGCGATCGAACGCCTCCACCTGCAATGCTGGCTCCGGTCATGTAAATTCCGGCGGCGGCACCACCCACAGACAAGGAGCACGCCATCACGATTCCCAGGCCGGCCCACATAAAAGGGCTGGAGGTGTACAAAAACCAGCTGATGCCCAACCGCTCTCCAGTGCCGGTCATCACGTTAGCCAGGATAAGTCCAGTCATTACGAGGACAGCTCCAAAAATAACCAACAACAAGAAGAATACTCCGAATCTCATTTTTACAGGCTTTTAGTTCTAGGTTCTCTCTGCCCAAATGCCTTGATGAAAAATGAAACTTAAAGGCAAACCTTCTTTATAGAATGTTTTCATTTTTAAAAATACTAGATTTTTATTCAACATTTTGGAAAATGAATGGGAAGGCCAATATGGCCTACAGCGAAGCCTACATGGCCTAAGATAAAATTATTTTATAGATTTTTTAGAGGAACGACAGTATAGCCCCTTGTGAAGCCCATATCTTTGCCAATAGTCATCCGATTCTTAAGCGGAATACCTTAATCGCTTTGTGGATCAATTTTCCACTAATCTGCATCAAAATCTAAGATAAAATTATTTTTAGGATTTTTTGTCAAATTTTCTGGAGGGTCCCCTTCAAAAATTGGGAAAATGCATGGAACGACAATATAGCCCCTTGCGGAGCGCATATCTTTGCCAATAGTCATCCGATTCCTAACCGGAGTACCTTAATCGATTTGTGGATCAATTTTCGACGATTCTGCATCAAAATCCAAGAAAAAAGATTTATTTTTAAACAATCTTCTTTAAAATCTATAATCAAATTTTATGTTAAATTTTTTTTAAATTTTCTTGAGTATCACCTTTAAAATTTTAAAAAATGTCATGCGAAGAAAAAAATAATTGCCAACATGTGTACATCCGTTTCTCAAGCGATTTTTTATGTGAACCCTGATTAGTCTGCATTCAATTCTACCAAGAAGTTCATATATTATTTAAGTTGTTACGATTCATGTTTTAAGGAAACTCTAATCTAAGGAAGCATCTATGGAATCTATGCAATACATCAAATAAATGTAAGACTATATTTTTTTTATATTCTTATCATTTGCTTAAAGAAATGAATTCTTATTTACATGCATAAGTATTGCCAGTCCATAAACTGTAGGAATGAACTTAAGAATAGTTTTAAAACATATGTGGATTAGGATTTGACTGCTCCTCGATGTTCATGTTTTCTAAAGCAGCTAAAAGATCAGTCTCCATGCCCTGTGTATTTGGTAGCGCGCCTTCAGACCTTCCGGCTAAGACCTTATAGTGATCCAAGACCCTTGAGAACAGTTTCAAATATTCCTCCGACGATCTCGCGCGGCGAAAGAGATGATTTTCCAACGCCTTGGCCCAGCTTATTTGTTCCGGGCCCTTATATGGGGACCAGAAGTGACTAAAACGGACCATTGTCAGAATAAATTTTTATTTATTTATCTACTTACAGTTTGCTGGCGATATTTTCACGAAAGGCGGGACTTTTCCAGTCTTCTTCTGACATATTAGAAAATTTAATATTGACAAGAATTGGAGTTAGTTGTCATTATTCTTTTAATAACAAAGTGTTTCTAACTGTGTGACCAGATCTCTGTTGGGCGGAAAAGTAGCAAAATAAATTTTGTGTAACTGATTTTTGGCGGGTTATTCGAATAACTTATTTTATCTAATAATAAACAAAACCATTTTTTGTGGCCCGTGGTTTTCTTAACACATTTCAAATAAATTCTTTTATATTCTATTCAAATATTTGAAGTTATATACGATAGCATCTACATTTATTAATGACAATGAAATTTTCCCCTGTAATATCATTTCCATCCATTAAACTCCACCGCCAATTCTACGGAGATATTTTAAAACACCTTTATGTATTTTTATTTTGTTGTTCAATGGTTTACATAACAGTATATGTATTTGTGCTTTAAAATACTGGGATGAATATTGAAAAAAAACCGATATTTAACGATTCGATTTAGCAACGCGTTCCAGTTCATCCTTCTTTTTGATGGCATACGAATTCGAAGAGCCCTTGGCGGCGTTGATAAGCTCATCAGCCAGACATTCGGCCACAGTTTTGATGTTACGAAAAGCTGCCTCGCGAGCTCCAGTGCAAATCAGCCAAATGGCCTAAAAATAAGAATAAGGTTTTACTAAGTTTTCAAATTTTCGCAGACATTTGTTTTGGTGCGTGTTTGTGCACGCATAACTTCACACTTACCTGATTCACGCGACGCAAGGGCGACACATCGACGGCCTGACGACGCACAGTTCCAGCGCGTCCAATACGCGTCGAATCCTCACGCGGTCCAGAGTTAACAATCGCATTCACGGTGACCTGCAGCGGATTCTCCGAAGTTAGCAAATGAATGATCTCGAATGCATGCTTCACGATGCGACAAGCCAGAAGCTTCTTGCCGTTGCTGCGTCCCTTCATCATAAGTCCACTGGTTAAACGTTCCACAATTGGGCACTGGGCCTTGCGGAATCGTTTGGCCGCATAGCGTCCGGCGGAGTGCGGCAAGTAGCGTGCGAACTTCTCCTTCACGGCAATGTAGTCCTGCAGCGAAATGTCGCTAATGGAAATATCATCGCATCCCCAACGACCAAAAAGCTTGATCTCCGGCCATTCGTTGGCTTGGGCCTGCACGGTTAGCGGGCCCTCCTCCTCCCAGATTTCATCCTCCTGCTGTGGTGGCGGCTGGACTGGCTCAGCATTCGATTCAACGATTTCCTCCGACATATTGTTACCCGGAAAAATTAGGATGAAAAGAGGAAAAAGCGTGCAACTCCGCGAAGCGTTTACTCAAAAAGAAAGAGGATGTGAAAGGAACGAAAAAAGGCAGAACTGTCAGTGTTTGACTTTGGCGGCCGATTACAACACTGGGCTTAGTGCTGCCCATTTAATGAAGAAAAAGCGCCAAGTTTGAAAAAGCTAATTCAATTATTTTAACTTTATTAATAAGATAAAATTTTGTTAAAAAAACCTCTGGATTAGATCCATCTGATAGATCCAGGATTTTTTTTCATCATTTATTATATTCTAATTTTTATCAAAAAATAATGTATAACTTTTTCAGCTTGAGTTTTTTTAAATAAAAGATAACGATAACTTTTATACAAATATCAAAAAGTATAAAAGGCAGTACACCTTTTTTTTTACTCTGTAAGTTATGAAGGATATCTTGGAAAATTTAAGTGTTGAGGAGGAGGAATATCCTTCAAATAATTGGTTGATATATAAGATTGAATAAAAAATATAAAAACTATTTCGCACCTTGATGGCTCTTCAAATCTTATAAAACACAAACATACATAGATAATAAATATATTTATGTGTGTAATGTACTCGAAGCGCGTGCTTCTGATAAGCCATTGTCGTAGATATTCATTAACGCATATTGAAAAACAAAACGTATATATTTTATTACTTTTTTTAATATGGAATACTTTCTATAATAATAATAATGCGACTGTGCATCTTTCTACAACTTCTGCCATCAACAGTAGTTTGAAATATACAAGTTTATCGTTTTATGATATTTAATATAATACATTTTCAATTAGCGGTTCAAGTGCCAGCGTAGAAACAAACATAACAAACTACTTAGAATCATAAGTGAACATACACACACACGTTGTCTTTCGTTTGGCAAAAGAATATTATTAAAACAAAACTCAGTCGTTTTCACACCAGGCACACTCTGCAATCGATTGAATGATGCTGGTGATTGTCAAAGTGTGCGAGGCGTGAAAACTAACAGCTTAACTAACCAACTATCAACTTAATAAGTAACTAAAGTCCCAGTTTAAAGTGTTTCGGCAGAACGAAGTTCGGGGTTCGGTTTCTGTGTGTCATCCTGCGAGCTGTAACTGCAAATAACAATCTTCTAATTGTAATTTCCAAAAAAAAAAGCAAACACTGGTCTCTTGCGTGTCTGCATTGGGATGGGGGGAATGCCTTGGTGCCTGATATTTGTTCTCCATGCTGATTGAAGGGCGAAGACTGTGGGTGAATATTTAGAATGAAATATTTGTACATTTTCAACTACGATCAAGATAAAAGCAACTAATTGATTTTCATGGTAAATCCATTTTAAAGTCATGTACTTTAAGTTAATGGTTATCATACAAAAGCTTGGGATGTGTTAATTGTAATCATATAAGTTCTATCATAAATTAGTTTGTTTTGACAACAGATTTCCAATTTGAATAACATTCTTTAAAGCTTTTACGCATTTAAGGAATGCTCATATTTTATGACTTAGTGTGCTCTTATCTCGACCGTCACTGTAACCTTATGATTCACACTCACACTGCATTACGATGGCTACAGTGGCCTCTTTACTCCTTGTCACCCATCTTCGACTTAGAGGTCATGTAGATGCCCACGATCAGGCCGAAAAGACCGATGGCCGAGCCGAAAATCTCCACGATAAGGATCTTGACGAACAACGCAGCATTGGCGGCGTCAGAGAGAGCAGCGCCCGAGCCTACGATTCCGACAGCAATACCACAGAAAAGGTTAACCAGGCCGACGGCCAGACCAGCTCCAAAGATGAGGTAGCCGGAGAACCAGTTGGTGTTCTGGATGGCGGGCGAGTTCAAGGCCGTTTCCATCTGGAACTGTTCCAGTTGGCCAGAGAGAACAATGGCTGTGATCAGACCGTAGATGGCGACAGCCTCGCAGAAGATGACGGAGATCAAGTTCTTGGTCTTGATGCGGGGAGCCTTCACACCACCACCCACGATGCTGGTGCCAGTTGTGTGAATTCCAAGGGCGGCGCCCACCACGGACAGCGAGACGGAAAGTCCGATGCCGAGACACGCCCACATGTAGGGATTGGAGGAGGCCAGGAACCAGCCAACACTCACACGCTCACCCTTGCCCGTCATCACAAAGTACAGGGTCAGGATGGTGGCCACTGAGAGGAAGAGCCACAGGAACGTTTGGGTCACCACGGTGCGAATTTGGGCCGCCATGTTGCTGCTTTTTCTCGACTATCTGGTGTAGAAAACGTGTTTTATTGTCCAAAACCTTCAGTTTTCCATCTCACACTTACCGAATTGCAGGCGTAATTGTATTTTTCTCGGCCGACAGGTGACTGCTTCGTGCGAAAAAAAGAATCCACAATCACATGACGTACATTTTCTCTATCATAAGCTATCGAATAATCACGCCATTCGATAAGTGCGATAACAAGGCTGCGGCAGGGATGTTGAATTGGCTACTATAGGTGTCAATGGTTATTTATTTTTTGAAAACTTCCTTTTTCTATTTATTTTGAATACTTTGAAAAAATTATGAATATTAAATAATTAATATTTCAATATGAAAAATTTATTACATATCGATAATGACCTTTAAGATGCATACAAAGAAATATATAAACATGAATTTTTGAATTTTGACAAAGGTTGTAGATCAATAACAATATATCTATTTTGAATATACTAATTCTATAATTCTATTATTTAAAGTTATTTGTTGAGGAAACATTATATAAACCGATAAATATAATTTTTTTTCAGAGACCTAATTTTCTGTGCATGCTAACATTTTACCGGGGTCTGGCAGCACTCTTTAGTATTTCATGACAACACATAGATGGCGCCACACAACCGCATATTTTAAAAATTTTTATTATAAAATTGGTATTTTAAGAGAAATTTATAATAAGAAGGTTTTATTTAAACAAAAGTTTCTTTAAGTTACGAATTTTTTATGAATACTTTATTTATATACCATAGTTTTATAGATAATTTGCTTTTGTATGGACGAAATTCATGTTTGACTAAAAAGTTCCATTTTATTCTCCCCCCTGCAGTAGTAAAAAAGAAACATTTTTTATTCACGCTCATTAAATTGTCTCATATAAAAGGCATATCTCTGGTTTGTTTTCATTGGCTTTTGTTTTTTGTATGCATATCAGCTGTCCACCGCCTTTTGCACTTCACTGGCTACCGCTCGAGGAATTACGCCGAAGGATGTGCCTACGCGTGGAAAACTGTCCTGCAGGCAGCGACTTTTCCAGCTCATTGAATTGGGTCGGGAGGGGTCAGGTCAAGATTTCACTTTTGTAGGCCCGGCTTGGCAATGGGAGCACGTTTAACAACAACCACGTGACGGCAGCGTAATCTAAAGCCACATCATCATTAAATATTTACACTACATTATAATTCGTGTTCTTTCTTTTGCGGCGCGTGTCGCATACATATAGGGAGGAGTACACTAGGAAAGTTTAAAACCAGTCATATTTTAGGTGCCTGTACGTATACGTAATAATTTGAATGGGGTCCTGAAAAAAGACAATTTACTTTCAATTAAAATCTCGCTGCAAAACCAACTCATAAATCCTAGATTTTTAAGTCTCTCCAGTTTTTTGCAAGTGTATTCAAAGTCAAATAGAGACGGCGGGATATACCGAAGGATATACCGTCCAAGGAGGCGTGCAAGAAGCGGAAGGAAAAGGAGTCGGGCGCAGGCGACACAACAACCGCAACATTCAATTAAACGTAATGTGTTGTTTGTTGTCCCTTGAAGGACAGGTTTAACCCACGCCCTTTCGACCCCCATCCCCCCAGTAGCGGGGGTCCGGATAATAAATGTAAACTTTTCACTTGAAAAATTCACAGGGCGCATAAAGAACAAAATAAAATGAGATGTCTACGGATAATACAGAATTGCTACGGGTCTGGGTCAAGTCAAATATCACAAGAGAAATCCATTAACCTGAGTCGCATTTTTTCCTTCTCCTTCAGTAATTTCTGTACGAAGGCTTATCTTTGAGATTTGGGGAAAGAGTAAAGAACCAGAGAGTCCTGGCACACATAAAATAATACAATATTAACAAATTGAATAAGAATTTGTATAAAAATTAAGCACCTCAAAAATCTTGAAAAATATCTATTAACCTTAAAGTAATTGGCCACAAGTTTAAGGCCACATAGGCAACACTTTATTAATGCTTGACTGCAACTTACAGGAAAATTTTCAAGAACAACAATGAGTGTGCAACATATGCATAGGCACACCTTTTGTTCACCTGCCACCACTTGAGGTAGCAACAACAATACCAATATGAACTGTGGTAACAGAGTTTAGTTTTCTATAGACCGGAAGTTGGCTGGGCATATAAAAGGCTTTCCGCTGCTTTCCGGTGAAATGTTGCATTTCAAGCATGCCCCATACACAGGGAGTCAACAATGCCTAGTAGCAACAACATCAACAAGCTCAAGTAGTGCCTAACAACAACCACATTAGTAAATGCACCAACTGAGGTAGAAAAGTCTCAAGTAGCCCCAGGCTCAAAGAACCAGAAGAGAATCCTGAAACTCCATAGCCGGATAGGAGGCTAATTTTGAGGGCTGTTGTGTTAAAAGTTTAAGTTTATAGTTAAGTTAAATATTTAAAAGTATATATAAACTAAAATTGTAGTTACAAAGGATTAGGACTTGTAGAGTTTGAACTGCAATAAGCATTCAGGAATAGGACTAACATTTTCCTGGTCTCTCCGGTCAGCACACACTATTGGATCAGATTCTAGGGACCGGCTTCAGAGGAGTGGTTGGGCACTCGGTGAATGTGGTTTCCTGGCAAAAGGCTGTTCAGAATTGATTTCCTGTTTAGACATTTAGGCCGATTTCACAACGATTGGGCAAAGTTCAAAGCGAGGACAGAGGTCTGTGGACAGGTGGTGCAGGTCTGCGGAGTCACTGGACAAATGCCGCTGCAGATCAAACGGCCAAGGTGGACCTGGAGGTCCTGGCTTATGATAAAGCTGGACCTTCCGGCTGTGGTCAAGTACCCCCCGCCATCCAATCTAATCTTATTTATTTGTTTGAGTTTCCAGGTAAGCCGAAACCCAACCATTCAACAAATTAAATCTTTTTTTTTAGCCATGCATCCTGTTTTTTTTCTCGGTTAGACTTTAACTGCTTGTGTGAACAATTTCAATTGGTTTTATTTCATTTTATTTTATTTTATTCTTTTTTATTTCCTCTAAGTGGCCGCTTGGCATTAATTTAATGTGCTGCAATGTTCAATCCGTAACTTATGCAAATTAAATGGCAATTCAATGAAATTCAATAGTCTGACTGATTTTTTCCACTCTTCCTGTTTTTTTTTACGTATTTTTTGCTACTGTTGTTTTTTTTGTTGATACGTGGAAAATGCGGTGAGATAATAAAATACAGTTCATTGTATGTATCGAGTTATGGTCATTTATCGGGAAAGTGCTCTGGCAAAGGGGATCGAACATATGCTGGGGATGTGGATAAGTACTATTTCCAATTACCAATTCGAGAGCAATTGTGTTAATAGTGCAATAAACATTGCCAGTTAAACATCTACTCAAGCATATTACATTTACTTAACGATATTAATCTGTTTACATTCAGGACGATGTATATTTTGTTTTTAAAAATGAAAAGCAAATAAAAAAGGACTAGGTGGACCTGGTTATTTATATTATTTCTTGTCGGGGCCTATCAAGAAGTCAGTAATTTTCTGGCCACCACGACAAGTTGGCAATTTGCAATAAAACACTGTCAGAAATATTATGTATAATTCTCTGCGGCCATCTGCGCTGGGCTCTTCATTTATTTCATTAACTACAAAGGAGATGAATACACGGGTACAGGATGGGTGGATGGTGGTTGGCTGGATGGTTGGGTGTAGGAGCCGAAAGGCTAACTCTACCATTGCTGAACAAAAACCCGCCCCAGGCACTTGCCCGAAAAGTGACAAATTGTTTCAATTCAACAAAAGGCAAAGGAGCAACAAAGAAAACAACAACAGCCAAACAAAAAAAATTAAATAAAAACAATAAAGGCTGCACAATAATGGCCTAGACCAAAGATAAGGGGGAAAACAGAGAGGGGGTCTATGGAGGTAGGACATAACCCTTTTCAGGTCCTACTCCTGACTTTGTGCACTCAAAGAAATGAACTTATAAACTTTAACTCGCAATAGTTTCTAAGGGTTTTTGTTTAAAATAATGGATAAAAAATATCTTTTAAACAAACAATATATTTAATAGAAACTTATTTTTTCTTTTAAATATATTTTTTTCTATGCTTACATTTTGTATAATATCCTTCCTCTTTATTTAGCCAGTGGTTTTGTTTTTGCTATTAGCCGCAGTGTCCACGCTACGGCCTGTGTCCTTTTTATCTGTTTGTACATGACATTTTGGCCTGTCTCATAAGTCCTGGACAGGCAAACTGAAAGGCGGACAAAAGGTAGCAGCTTCCAAGAATGATGACGGCAATTTGCGGCTGATCCTGGCTACACTTGCTCATTTTTGGGAGCCCCTTAGTCCTCTTTCACCATTCTCTAAAATTATCTTAATTTTCACTAAAACACGCACCGACAACTTCTAAAGTTTTTTTGTGTTTTTGGGAAATGCAAGGTGCAGTAAAGTACTCGGCAGGATATGATTTTTGGTAATGATGGTAACTACCTCAAATTTGATAGTTATTACGGCAATGCCTATAAGGTTAGTTCAAGAAGCAAGTATGAGATAATTTTAGAATGGAAATGCTGTTCAGTAAAGCAAATATTGAAGCGCAGGTAAACTACATTATCGTGCATAGGCCACTGGGGGCCCAAAGGATATGCCAGAGTGGCAGGATGGGGATGAGCTAGTTGGCCCTTGGTGTATTTGCCGGTGCGTCAGGTGCAGTTCAGTTCAACTTCGTTGCATACTTACTTGCCATGGTGCACCCCACCCACTCGGCCGCCCACATTTTTCATCCGCCCTGTGGGCCGGAGCTCCCTTATTTGTATATGTGCGGTTGACAGCTCTACAGCGCTCTCTTGACTTGGCTCGGAGTGCGAGTGAGATGGAGGGGAAGACAGAAAGAGAAGAGGAGAAAAGCTAGCCAAAAAATATAGAATACTCGCAGTATTGCCGCAAGGATAAATTGAAAATGATAGAAAAGGTAATGAGATGTTTGTGCACACGTGGAATTCCCGGAGTGCAAACGTAAAAATAAAAGTGTATTACTTTGTGAGCAAAGGATATGATATGAACTGGATAGAGAACTTTTAAATTAACGATTCATTAGCAGTTTAAAACTTTTCAAATTGAACCATCCTCAATTATCAAAGTAGTTTCTGAAGTGTCCTCTTTCAACCCAGACAAATATTTGTCTAAATTTTGGATTTAT